TTCTTATATAATTAGGGCTATAAACAAACATACAGTCCACGTGATGGTAAGTGGATGCTGTGGCCTATAGACATCTACATCTTTTCTCGGTTAAGAATCAAAATACGTTGTTACCCTGAGTACTACGATGGAATGCCTTACATAAACACTCACGCCTGTCACCCAGAGGCGTAGGCAGAGACTATGGACTTCCAATTGGCACGATCCTGACACGCCTCTCTCGCTTCCTCCACATCCATATACCTACACATACACGCTCGTCGGTTAAAGGTACTCTTAATTTGGTCTATTTTCAATATATGAATATGAATGCCTTATTTTCAGTTAAAAGGGTCTCAGGTCCTCTACACTCACAATACGAAACACTAACCATTATTATACGCAAAAGACTTACATATGCAACGCATTTCAAAAGGATTACATAGGGCGAATTTAATAGTCTTTCTCTTTCAATCAACCATAGGCGTGTGTAAATAGTAGAATTATAGGAGCATTTTTTTATTATTAGACTAGCCGTCCTTCGCGACTTTGCCCGCGTGGAATTTACTACGATTTCATGGGTTTTAATTATTTACGCGGAAACCTAATTCTTTTTCTAAAATAAAAGTATCCTAAGCTACTCCTTATAACATCAGCTATCAGCTATCTGCCAGTGAAAGTCCTGTCAAAATCGGTCCAGCCGTTTTGGAGATTAGTCGAAAGAAACAGACAGACAGACAAAAATTGTTTTACCGTATAATATACCAATATAAATTAGTACCGTATATACTTTCATATGCATTTAGTAAGAAGCTGTTATTTTAACGCTACAAACAGACACTTCAATTTTATTTATTTGTATAGATGTATTTATTAGTTTAGTAATTTCATTTTTTATAACATAATACAAATATTAAAACAGGTGTCAAACGATATGGTAGGTTGTAGGCCTTAGACACCTACATCTATGCCTGCGCTAGCACTTCTTATTAGTTTGTGTCTATGCCTTTCTTTACTATCATCATCATCATTACAGCGCATAAATAGTGCACTGCTGAACATACCCCTCCCCCCAAAGATTGCCTCATAGATAGGATATTTAACATTGTTGCAATGCTTGGCAGGCGGGTTTTTATTTCCTTGATGTTATTAGGAAGTAAGTGGTGTTTCTTTTCCTTTGTCGCCTCTTACGACACCCTCGTGAGACGATATGGGACGTAAACCCTCCCCCCCCCTAAAGATTGCCTCATAGATAGGATATTTAACATTGTTGCAATGCTTGGCAGGCGGGTTTTTATTTCCTTGATGTTATTAGGAAGTAAGTGGTGTTTCTTTTCCTTTGTCGCCTCTTACGACACCCTCGTGAGACGATATGGGACGTAAACCCTCCCCCCCCCTAAAGATTGCCTCATAGATAGGATATTTAACATTGTTGCAATGCTTGGCAGGCGGGTTTTTATTTCCTTGATGTTATTAGGAAGTAAGTGGTGTTTCTATTCCTTTGTCGCCTCTTACGACACCCTCGTGAGACGATATGGGACGTAAACCCTCCCCCCCCCTAAAGATTGCCTCATAGATAGGATATTTAACATTGTTGCAATGCTTGGCAGGCGGGTTTTTATTTCCTTGATGTTATTAGGAAGTAAGTGGTGTTTCTTTTCCTTTGTCGCCTCTTACGACACCCTCGTGAGACGATATGGGACGTAAACCCTCCCCCCCCCCCCTAAAGATTGCCTCATAGATAGGATATTTAACATTGTTGCAATGCTTGGCAGGCGGGTTTTTATTTCCTTGATGTTATTAGGAAGTAAGTGGTGTTTCTTTTCCTTTGTCGCCTCTTACGACACCCTCGTGAGACGATATGGGACGTAAACCCTCCCCCCCCCTAAAGATTGCCTCATAGATAGGATATTTAACATTGTTGCAATGCTTGGCAGGCGGGTTTTTATTTCCTTGATGTTATTAGGAAGTAAGTGGTGTTTCTATTCCTTTGTCGCCTCTTACGACACCCTCGTGAGACGATATGGGACGTAAACCCTCCCCCCCCCTAAAGATTGCCTCATAGATAGGATATTTAACATTGTTGCAATGCTTGGCAGGCGGGTTTTTATTTCCTTGATGTTATTAGGAAGTAAGTGGTGTTTCTTTTCCTTTGTCGCCTCTTACGACACCCTCGTGAGACGATATGGGACGTAAACCCTCCCCCCCCCTAAAGATTGCCTCATAGATAGGATATTTAACATTGTTGCAATGCTTGGCAGGCGGGTTTTTATTTCCTTGATGTTATTAGGAAGTAAGTGGTGTTTCTATTCCTTTGTCGCCTCTTACGACACCCTCGTGAGACGATATGGGACGTAATGGATATTCTTACACCGCAACCACACGTTTCTTTTATAGGATAAGGGTGATAATCGAGCACACAGTCCACCTGATGGTAAGTAGTTCCTGTGGCGCATAGACATCTACATCTATCTTATATTGTCAATGTCATCCGTGAGGACTAATATGGAATGCCTCGTTTCCAGTAAAAAGGGTTACCTGTTCTCTACACTCACCATACGTAACACAGCAGTGTTATGCTGCTATTTTACGCTGGTATTCTGTGAGAGCGTGGTCCTTCCCCGGTGGAGCCGATCCGTTCGTGCTACAACTATTATAACAACTATATATACTATAGTTGTAGCATGGCTCTAGTAACTACATTCATTAATTAGAGCCTATTAAATGTTTACTTCTGAATATTTGGCCGCCCCATATTTTGGCTCATGGCGAAGGAGCTCATCGGAGGGAAATTATTATTTTTAATATAATTTGCATAGTTGCACTTTTAGTAGTTGTCGACCCGCTTTTTTATAATTTTCAGTTGTTATTAGGAAGATGCTGGTACGTGTTTCAGTTTCCCTCTATCGCCACTTACAACACCCGCGGTCGGTAAAAAAAAAAATAAAAAAATTGAAAAATTCCAAAAAAAACAAACGCTGTTATTGGAATTTTTGAAAATACAACTTTGGTGTAGTTTGCCGCTATGTGCCCCTTCAGAAGTGTCTGCCATTTTTTTTTAATTCTTTATCAACTTAGCTGACGGATAGTCATTATAATTATTTGAATCAAAGACTTCTGTTTTGGGCAATTTTTTGTGACTTACCTGTATGTGCAGTACCAGGTGTACCCAGGTAGGCCAGGAAAACAGTCATATAATACCTGCTTATTGTGTGGACCTATACTTTTCAACAAAGTTTCATGATGCATCAAACACTTCGTGAAAAATATTTACACAAATTTTGGCATTGTGAAGATTGAGTTTTAACTCGAGATTGTCTGGGAATGCCGGAAGGAGAGCGGCTCAAGGGCTAAGCGCTATTACACAGTACGCGAGGATCCCCGCAGGCACAAATGAAATAGTTGATTGCAATATTAAGTGCTGATTTACCACGTGCTCGGCGGTGAAGAAACATCCAGGTCTGAGAAATAAAAAAATTATTACGAAGACATTTGAAGAACGACAACACGCATTGGAGCCGCTCGGTAAACGCTTTCTTGTCCAAAAAACCCCTCTCAGAAATGAGAGGCCTGTGCCCAGGAGTGGAACTTATCGTATATAGGCAGTAATTTTTACTGGAATAGGTGTAGAGTAATAACATAGATTTGGAAATAGGTCATCACTGACAATATGCACCGGTTTAAAAATAAACTATTAAAGAAAATGCGTTCGTTAATGACTAAAACAGTTAAACGGTTTCCATTAAAACATAATTAAATTATTAGGCTTATTAATTATTACGAAATATAAGTTGTTTTTCAAGCTACTTACCATCATGTCAAGAACTTCCTAACGTCCCAAAAGCTAATATCTTTAAATTGTTTGCACGAAATATAGTGCTACGTCGTATCTCGAAAACCGGATTGCATTAATAATGAAAATGCAGATGACCCCTGCGGGCTTAGAAAGAATGCCTCGTTTCCAGTAAAAATGGTCTCCGTTTCTCCACACTCACTATACGATACGTAGCAGTATGATGCTGTTCTGCTATTTCGGTATTCTGTGCGAGCATGGTCCTTATTTTTTAATTTTTTTTTTTGATTTTTCACCAAGGAATATACTTACCGTCCTTGTTGGGAATTTATTGACAGTCTTACAAAGTAGGGTCATCGATCACTAATAAAAGTAAGTTACATAAAATGGCTTATTTATATATTTGTTAATCTCTGAGACAAGATAAAGCTACATCAATGCGATTTGATACATTGATGCATGGTCCTTTTAGGTCGAGCCGACCTATTCGTGCTACAACCATAATATACCATGGCTCTACCACGTATAAAGATTGTTCGTCGCAATCTAGAGTGGAGTTATTGCAGCGATTCGAACTTGAAACCAAATAAAGAGCCATAAAACTACTATGCGTGTCACGTTGTACTGAACACTATTTTCGTCACGTATATATACGTATACTGTATGGCGACACTAGATTTTTGGCAATACCATATTGGCACAATAATATCGTTATGTCAAATTTTTCCTCGGTCGAAATTGTGGGTTGTCGGTTGGAGATTTTCAGAATACAATCTATTCTATTCAAAAATATAAAAATGAAGTGTCTGTTTGTAATGTCAAAATACAGCTTGGAATTATGGTTTTAATTTTTTTGCGCGGAACCCTAATTCTTTTTCTAAAATAAAAATATCCTAAGTTACCCCTTATAAAATAAGCTATCCGCCTGTGAAAGTTTCGTCAAAATCGGTTCGGCCGTTTCGGAGATTAGCCGGAACAAACAGACAGACAGACAGACAAAAATTTAAAAATTGTTTTTGTTAATTAGTGCCGTATATACTTTCATATGCATTTAGTAAAGAGCTGTTATTCTAGCATTACAAACAGACACTTCAATTTTATTTATATGTATAGATATAAACAAATGCAATTAATTTTAATGATTATTACTACCGACTACGATATAATAAGTCGCAACGGCTAGTAAAATGACGCGTTAATTTATTAATAATTGTAAGCGTAATCTAACAGTCTAGTTTGTTTATCAAGCAAGATGCACGCGCTGACTATTTTGTGAGTTTTCCATATTTTGCTAAAACAAAATAAAATTATTAATTTCCCTTGAAAAATATGTATTGCAATAAGGCTACATTTAAGTGATAAAAAAAAATATTATTATAATTATTTCAGTTTCAAGTTAATTAAATTAGTCATTAGTGTTTTGTGTTCGATATTACCTGTAATGTGTAAAATGGAAAATTTTCACCATAATATTATTAAATTTCATTTCGCTAATACACCTATACAGGGTTATTTTTCAAAGAGCAGCCAAATTTTAAATTTAATTTCAAATATATAAATAATGATATACCGTTATTGCAGTTTTTGAAAATTAGAGTAGATAAAGCTTCTACTTTTATTTGAAACAATCTGTCCCTCGCGACTTCGCCCGCGTGTAATCTACTTCGGTTTCATGGGTTTTAACTTTTTGTGCGGAACCCTAATTATTTTTCTAAAATAAAAGTATCCTAAGATACTCCTTATAATAACAGCTATCTGCCAGTGAAAGTCCCGTCAAAATCGGTCCAGCCGTTTCGGAGACTAGCCGGGACAAACAGACAGACAGACAAAAAATTTAAAAATTATTTTTTTGGTATTAGTATCGTTCTCCAAGGTCTTGAGGAGAGCACCGCGCACCAGGTCGGGACGGTGGAAGGTATTCCACAGTTTAGATGTAATAAAGAGGTCCTCCCTGTGTGATTCGAACAGTAATTAAATTAGCTATTTTCGTTCAGTGTTTGAGTTTTTATTTCAAATTGAAATAGGTTCATAGTTGGTTACATACAAATTTATAGTAGAAATCCCCCCCCCCCCTAAGGGTTGAAAAATAGGGTATAAAGTTTTGTAAAAAAGCGACATCGAGATTGTAATATTCTTAGGTCCTTTCAAAAGGGTAAAAAATAAACTTTTAACAAAGATTCGATTTGGACTACATTTTCACCAAAGTACTAATAACAATAAAATAATTTTACTTTCTGAAGTCAGTACTATAATGCTTCTCTACACTGTTAGCATCAAGTTCAGTATGTGAAGTTATTTTATTCTCTTTATAACCCTGTATATTTAATTTATCATAATCTCTCTTCAGATGTATAACAGAAGTCATGCTGATTGGTGTGAAAGTGTTTGCTCAAAACGAAACATTAAATGCCACAGATCCATCGACAACGCTAAAAAATGGTAAGGTTTGTTATTATGTAATATGCCGGCTCAATAGCACAGCGGCTGAGCATTTGGTTGTAGCGCTGCGAGTCACGGGTTCAAATCCCGCACGGAAGAAGTGTCTGTATGACCTACAAATAATTATTACGGGTCTGGATGTTTGCCCTCGTGCAATTTATGGTTGTAAATTGCCTCCACGATACAGGAGAAAATCCTAGTGTGATCCGTTTATCCACCCTAAATCAGCCACTCTAGAGTGCGAAAACGTGTGTTCATCTATCCACCCCGGACGGGGTGGATAATCGGATTTCGTATACTATTTTTCTTCCGAATTTCTCCCTCAACTGACGACCAAGATACTTAGTAGAATAGCCTAGATAATTAGCATACCTATAAAAATATAATTATACATACTTCTTGTTGGAAAGGTCAACGCTGAAATAAAAAGAGTACACAGGACTACAAATTAATTTGATTCTTAGCATAAAATAATCCTTGTTCTCCAAAATAATGGAATCCGTTATAAACTGCTAGCTCATACGGTACCTTAAGGATCACCAGCTGATTAGTTACCGGCAATACGGTTTACGGCGGCGTCGATCAGCTGGTGATCTTCTGGTCTACCTGACTCATAGATGGGCGGAGGCAGTAGAGTCCAAGTGGAGGCATTAGCCGTTAGTTTGGACTTTGCGAAGGCTTTCGATCGAGTTTGGCACAAAGCGCTTCTTTCGAAGCTCCCTTCCTATGGGCTTCCAGAGAAATTGTGCAGTTGGATCACCAGCTTTCTTGCAGATCGGAGCAGTAAGGTCGTTGTAGACGGTGCATGCTCCGACTACAAGCCTATTAATGCTGGTTTCCACAAGGCTGCGTGCTATCACCAACGCTGTTTCTTCTGCATATCAATGATATGTTGCGAAGCGGTAACATTCATTGCTATGTGGATGTCGGCACCGGTGATTCTCTATACACCGGCCGTGTCAATATTTCTCGGGAAAACGTCGCCGAGTAACGGAATAAACTTGTGTCTGAAGTAGAGCTTTTGCTGAACAAAGTCTCGGATTGGGGGCGACTAAATCTAGTGCAGTTTAATCCTCAGAAGACATAAATTTGCGCGTTTACCGCGAAAAAGAACCCCTTTGTCGTATCTCCTCAGTTTCAAGGCACTCCCCTTGTTGCCTCAGTCAGTATCGGAATCCTCGGCGTCGACATATCGAGTGACGTGCAGTTTCGTAGTCACTTGGAATAGAAGGCCAAATTGGCCTCTAAAAAGCTTGGCGTGCTCAGCAGAGCGGGACAGTATTTCATGCCGGCACACCGCCTGCAACTTTACAAGACGCAGGTTCGGCCTCACATGGCAATGCTGTTCCCATCTCTGGGCTGGTGCTTCCCAGTGTCAGCTCCTTCCACTTGACTGCATCCAGCGCAGAGCGACTCGAATCTTCGACAACAGAGTGCTTACCCATCGGTTCGATTCACTGGCACTGCGAAGAGATGTTGCATCCATTTGCATTTTCTTTCGCATTTACCACGGGGAGTGCTCTGAAGAATAGTTCGGATTAATCCCAGCCGCCAAATTTCACGAACGCACATCGCGGCAGAACTCCCGATACCATCCACGCCATCTGGATGCTTGACGGTCCACCACTATACGTTTCACTAGGAGTTGTTTTCTTCCACTTACGACCTCTCTGTGGAATAATTTACTACCGGCGATTTTTCCGCACCGATACGACTTAGGGACCTTCAAGAAAGCAGCTTATTCGTTTTTCAAACGCCTTCAACACACCTGCAATTCCCTTTGTGTTGCAGTTGTTCCTGGGCGGCGATAGTCACTTACCATCAGTTGAGCTGTATGCTCGTTTGCCACTTCTCCTATAAAAATTTTTTTTTGTAATTCTTGCCAAATATTAAAAAAATCATACGTGGTAGAGCCATGCTGCAGCTATGTTAGTAGTATAGTTGTAGCACGAATGGGTCGGCTCGACCGGGGCAGGACCACGCTCTCACAGAATACTAGCGTAAAATAGCAACTTAACGCTGCTATGTTTCGTATGGTGAGTGTAGAGAACCGGAGACCCATTTTACCGGAAAAGAGGCATTCCATCTTAGTCCTCACGGGTGACAACGCATCTGCATTTTGATTATTTATTGAGGATAAATGTAGATGTCTCTGTCATGTGTCAGCTCGTTTGTCACCCTATCCTATAAAAAAAAAACGCCTAGTGATTGCAAATATATAATATGATTTTTGTTTAAGTATGTGGTTATTAAAAATAACAATGTCCTCCAGACCGAATTTCGGCCACGGCGGCCAGCTCAACGGAGACTGGCTATCGGCGCAGGGCAGGATTATAGTGCCCAAGTGTGTGCGCAAACACAGGTGCACTCTCTATTCCGTCAATCTCGAGACACGACCAGTGAGAGATCAGGCGCGGGATCAATGGCTTAACGTGCTTTCCGAGGCACGGGGATGAGACAACGCCAACTGCCTGTAAAGTGGATGGAGAGTAGTGGACTGTATTTGGTATTTTAACTGGCGGTGTGAGGTTAGCTATACTAGGGGACTGCTCGAAGAAAAGATGGTACTTTTAATTATACTATATTCACTATTTACAAAGGGTTCGGTACATTAACTAATCACTATACAAAAGGGAGGTCTTCAGTATGGAGTCTTCTGTCTTGATTCTTCCTTGCCGCTTCCGAACGAATGCTTCTGAATGATCCGAATGAACCCGAATGAACCCGAATGAACAACGACCGTCCGAGGCGCCCTTCTTATATTTCCGATGAGAGCGCTTCATTTCGTGGGGTTAGCCGCCCGATGGCAATTTTCGCCGCACGCGCGCTGATTGGTTGCCCGATATCGCGTGATCAGCGCCGGCGTGCGGGGTGCGCGGGACGTAACGGGGAACAAAGGGGCGACGGGGCGGCGGGTCTCTCGCTGTCCGTAACATTCTCCCCCCGGCGTAGCCTTGCGAGCCTAGGCTGCACTCGGGAGGACGGCGATCCTCCTGACCGGCCGCCGCAGCAATCCGCCCCTGGTCCTCACTTCAACGTTCCGTACCACGCCGTCTGGTCCGGGAAAGGTCCTCGTTATAACTCCTCTTGGCCACACGTTCCGCGGCATGGTCCCGTCTGCCACCACGACGAGGTCTCCTTCTTGTACCGGGCGCTGCTGCACGTCCCTTGAGTCTCCGCGCGCAACCAGCGTCGGCAGGTACTCCTTCACCCAGCGCTTCCAGTACTCGTTGGCAAGTCCCTGCGCCGCTCTCCACGCCCGACGATCATTTGGCGTGCACGGCGCGGTCACTGGAAGGCTCGATGGTCCCAGCAGCAAGAAGTGGTTGGGTGTCAATGCCTCTTCTTCGTCGATGTCGACCGGTACGTGCGTCAACGGTCGAGAGTTAACGGTGTTTTCGGCTTCTGTGAGGAGCGTCGCTAATGTCTCCTCCCGTGGGCTCTTCTGATTGAGTGTGGCTTCGAGCGCGGTCTTCACCGAGCGCACGAGACGCTCCCATGCGCCTCCCTGGTTCGGCGCACCCGGCGCGATGAACTTCCAATCCGTCCGCCGAGTCAACGCGTAGTCCTTCAGCAGGGGTGCCCACTCTTCCATCGCCCGTCGTAATTCGGTGTCCGCCCCATGAAAGTTTGTCCCGTTATCCGAGTAGATGACCCGTGGCCACCCACGCCTAGCCGCCATGCGCCGCAATGCCGATATCGCCGAGTCCGTCGTTAGGGAATAAACTATCTCTAGATGTACCGCGCGCGTCGTCAAACAAGTGAATAACGCTATCCACCGTTTTTCATGCCTACGTCCTATTGTTACCGTTATAGGCCCGAAATAGTCGATTCCGGTGTAGGTGAATGGTCGCGCTAATGCCCCTAACCGTTCAGGTGGTAGATCTCCGATAACCGCTGGCCGTGGTGTCGCCTTGCGTACCCTGCACCGCAGACATCTCCGCTCCACTTCTCGTACGGTCGGTCGTAGTCGAAGTATGTGATATCTCGTGCGTAGGTCGTTCACTACCCGTTCCCTGTTGGCGTGGCTTGCTTCCTTATGCGCCTTTTCCACAAGCAGCTTTACAAACTGGTGGCGTCCGTTCAGGATGATGGGCCTCTTCATTTGGCTGTCCACATTGGCTGCGTCAATCCGTCCTCTAGCTCGCAGTACGCCATCTTCGAATATGGGGTCGAGCTTCCTTAACGCGCTGCCGGTCGCCAAGTTCCTTCCTTTCTGCAGTCGACTGATGTCTTCAGCAAAACTCTCTTGTTGACTTCGCTCTATCCACATCCGCTCTGCTTTCTGGATGTGGTCCAATGTTAGTCCGTGCGCCTTTCCTCTCATGGCATCGACGAACTGTAATATCCGAGCGGTGGCCCTGACCAATCTCTCGTAAGAAGAGAACCTCTCGATGTCTGGCAGGTGTGGAGCGCTCCTGGTGTCGCTCTGGTGCGCCACGACTTCCTCCATCTCATCATCTTCATCCCCTGCCTTCTCTTCCCGTCGTCGAGGCCATCGATCTTCCTCTTCGTACAGGAATGGCGGTCCCGTAAACCATTTGTCGCTCTCTTCCTTGTACGTGTAATTAATGCGCGTTGCCTGATCCGCGATGTTGTCTGCGGTCGGTATCCACCTCCATTGCTCGGGTGACGTCTTCTCCGATATCTCCCCTAATCTATGTGCTACGTATGGGGTGTAACGCGCCGTATCGTTTTGAATCCAATGGAGCGCCGTAGTGGAGTCTGTCCAATAAACTACCCTATCGGCTACCACTCTGTGCTCGCCTTGCACGAATTCCGCGAGTCGCGCGCCTATCAGATTCGCCTGCAGTTCTAACCGTGGTATGCTTTGCGCCTTTATCGGGGCGACTTTCGCCTTGGCCGCCACTAATCGTACCTTAACCGTTCCGTCGCGGTATCGTAATCGCCAATACGCCGCGGATGCGTACGCACGTTCGCTTGCGTCGCTGAACACGTGGAGCTGACGCTCTACCACTCCCCCCGTAGGAGCATAGCAC